TCAGTGCAGAAATAACAAATAATTGCAATTTATCTCTGACAACAAAGGCCCCATGATGATGAGGAACTTTAGCCTAACATGTTGCTTAATAAGTAAAAAATACTTTAAAAAGGAAAAGGAGGATAGGAAGGAGGAGTTCAAGGATTCTGTGAATGGATTTCAGCACAGGAGCCAGAATGCAAAAAAAGAGCTGGAAGGATGTTTATGACAACTTGTGTTAACTTAGACATAAGTGTCTAGATTCAGAAGAGTTTGGGACAAGGAAAAAAACCACACAGGAAGATTTGCTGTAAATTGTGAAAAAAAAAAACCCCAGTCCTCTGAAGAATATTAGGATGTTAGGCCACTACTTCAAGTGCACTCTGAGGTTAACAAATAGTGGGAGCTTCCTGGAGGTCCCCACTACACCCTTTCCAGAAAGCAAGAGTGAGTTCTGCTTTCATTTGCAAAGATAGGTGCACTTAGCAGATAAGGTGTGCTGTGCCAGAGTAATGCTAAACAAATAAGGCTGTAATGAAAAAAAATGGCTGAAGCAACCCACTGAGGTTCTCATTTTCCCCTAATAATTCAAAAACATAACAAAGATACATCTCTCTCATTATCTTTATAATATATTCATTTTTCATCACTCTATTCTCTCATTTAAGAAAGAGCAGGAGAATTCACTCATCTTGTTTTCCTGTGCAGCATAGAGATCTCCTTCTCTTCTCATGGATTTCCAACAAGACATAGTGAACATCTGCCACTTGCAGAAAATGTCCATCAGTGTTTGTAAGGCTCCTCCACCTGCCCTTAATTTCTCAACAAAACCCTTTATTATTATTCTACAGTTAGTCAGAAAAGTCTGCAGTTCCTTTCTCCAGTGCATTTGCCAAATAAAAGGCATCATTAGTCAGAGAAGCAGAAAGATGTTTGGACCTCCAAGAGTGAGAAAAGGAGTGGACACATCAATAACATCCACTGCAGTCTGCAGAGCAATTTGTATTTCTGTTTCAGTAAATAAGACTGAATTTATTAAAAAATCTGTTATTAACCATTGTATATCATTCTATAATATCGGTGAACTTTCTGTAGCGATCCATGAGGTTTTGCAGAAGCTTGAGAAGAAAAATTTTCTTTTCTAGATATGAAACCAAACTTTCAGCCTGAAATATAGGCAAATACATTCAGCCACTGCTGCCAGCAGAGCTTGAGGTCATGAACTTTATAAAACTGGAAATTTTCCTCAATTTTCCTCAGTACCAACACAATGAAATATATGTGTGATAAATATTTCTAGCACATACTGGTAGACCATTATCAATCCCAGTGAGCAGAAAGTCCACATGTAGAGGTGCTGTGTTATTGTTTCTTTGTTGCTGAATATTCAGACTGCAGTCTGTAGAGATGCTTTGCAACTTCACCATCCTAAAGTCCCAGCATAATTACTCTCTATCCCAGCCAGGCATGGAATTACTCAATCTCCACCTCCTCCTTTCCTGCCAGTATCAGCACACCACCATCATGTCTTTCTTTCTCTAGTCCATTCTCTGGACCCCTCATCGTTTCCTCCAAACAGGTTGGCAGCCATTTGAAATGGTGATGGCTTAACATTGGAGGAATCCTGAAAATAGCTTGGCTTCACACCAAACTGCAGAATCCTAGTAGGTTCCTATGTTTGTTCCTCAAGACAGTGACTGTGGATCATTGCCCAGGAGAACAATTTCCCAGTGCATGGTGTGAATCAATGCATGACAGTGTGTATGCAACAAATGTCAGGGAACTGGGGGTTGAACCACAATATATAAATCATATGAATACACATTTTTACTCTAGCTGGTACATACTGGTTATTTCCAAAAAAATGTATTCCAAAAGCTTTTCTTTCTGAACATGGAAATGATTTCTTAGAAACAGTCCTGCTGAGTTGTCAGACCCATTCAAAACAAATGAAACCCAAACATTTTCAAAAGTAAATAACGTGTCAAAATGCGGTTAAGTAATCTTATGGAAGCAATTACAATTACTTAAAAGTAATAAAATAATTAACTTAAGGACACCTTAAAAGTTTAAAATGGCCACATGATGGCCTACTGAATTATTCTTACCAGATTAAAGAAGAGGTGGAAGCAGGCCTATGGATAGCTTTTGGTAACATCAGCCAGAGCAGTCTTCAGCCATGTAGATTTTTTTCCTACATTATTATGGAATGCTGCTGCTATCTGTTCATGCAGGTCTCAGCAACGTGATTTGAACAGACTTTTACTAAGGGAAAGACTCCTTAATTCTGAATTAAAAGAAAGCACAGATTTCACTTAATATTAACAGCCTCAATTCTAATTCAAAATTGCAGCTTTTAGTTATATTATTTTTAACCTGTCTTTCCAAATCAGAGTACTTGCTTTTAATCAACAGGAAATGTTGCTGGGCATTACGTGTGTCAACAACCACTTTACTTATATAAGTTACTTACATAATGGATACTTCTGGAAACTAATGGTTTATATATCAGTTGATAGGAAAATATGAAAATAATAAAGTTTTTGAGAAATACATTGTTATATACATACATTCATCTGTATGGTTATATACATACATTCATCATCAATTCAGATGAATGTATGTATATAACATACATTATTAATTATAATGTATGTTATATACATATACTAGTTAGTATTAATATATACTAACTAGTCACTTTTACATTGGTATATTAAGTATATGTTACAGTGTAAGATATTTGCAGAGAAACAGGACGTTTCACATATTTAGGTGTTTACAGTCCATTTTATGTTTTCTTTTCTGAATAACGTTGCATTTGAGTTCACATGTCAAGACTACTGCCGAGAACAGCATATCTTTTTATGCAGACCTGGGTCTTGCTGACAGCAAGTAGTAAAGTTAATTTGTAGGGCTTTTCTGTGGGGGACACACATATATCAGTCTAAAATTTAATATGCACAAGGTAACATTAACTTATTTTAGGAAGGAGATAAGCTATGTCAACACAAGTTTCACTGTTAGTTGAACAAGCATATTGTACAAAGTTGTACTAGTGTAATACTTCAAACTAAGAAACAGAAGTAAAGGAGAAAAAAATCTATGCCATTAAATGTAATGGTTGTGCCAATGCATTTGGCGATGAACACCTCTTTGTCCTATCAGCTGCTGAAATAAGTAAAATTCTCAGGGGAATACTGTCACGGCAAAAGTAGCAATAGTTTGCGCACTGGAGATAACTGATAATTAAACACCTAGGATGAGGCTGGCTGCCCGGAGAGCTAAGGATGCCAGGCCAGGAGAGCCACAAGAGAGCTATAAAGGCGATGAGTAAAAGCACTCTCTGTCAGCTGAGGTGATGAGGTCTTTCGTGCAGCATCAGGAATCACAGGAAAAAGAGAGCCGTATAGATGCAATTAGAACAGGTCCATGGCACAGGGTGTCTGCGGTAGAAAGAGAGATAGAAGCAATACAGTTTCTCTGAGTTTAAGCGAGAGGAGGCTGAGGCGGCGCGGGGCGGCCGGCAGGCCGTGGCGGTGGCGGGCGAGGGGCCGGCGCCGTGAGGCGGAGCTGCCCGCGGCCAGCCCCGGGCGAGCCGCTGACAGCCGCGCCCGGCGCTCCGGCCACGGCAGAGCACAGCCCAGCCCCGGCGCTGCAGCCAAGGTACACGGCATCGGAGAAAAAACCCCAAAGCAACACCAATGACAGGGAAAGAAATATTTTTTAAAGAAATCAACCCACTGCTTGAAAACCGCGCGGTTCAATGTCCAGCAACAGGTGGCTGAAGTTGCAGAGAGTTTACGGACAGGGACTTCCCGGTGCGAAGCGGTGGGACGGCCCTGCCCGGCGGAGAGCTCCGCATCCCCGGCCTGGCGGAAGAGAACCGGAACCGAGTTCGAGTTCGGGCTCGGGCTCGGGCTCGGGCTACGGCCGCCACCGCCTCCTCCCGCCCCGCCCGGGCCACGGCCACCGCCGCCGCCTACAAGTCCCGTCATGCCCCGCGCCGTCGCGGCCGCTGCCGTCGCGCCCCGTCCCCCCTCCCGCGCCGCTCCCCGCCCACTGCCGGCAGCGCACGCGCAGCGGGGGCGGCGTCCGGGGCAAGTCTCCCCAATGTAAGATGGTGGCCGGGCTGGCAGCGGAGCGCCCCGAGCTCGGAGATCGCCCGTCCCTCGCGTAAAGGTCGTCGGAGCAGCCGCCCGAGCGCCCGACCGGCTGCCGCCGCACGTCCCGCTCCAGAAGCGCCGCTGCGGGTTTCTCCTCTCCGTTTCTCTCCTTCCTCGCCGCCTCTCTCCTTCCCTCCCCACCCTTCTCCTCCTTTTCCCCTCGCCTCCTTTCCCGCACGCTCACTCATCCACCCGCCCGGCCGCCCCCGCCGCGCTGGGCAGCCTGAGAGGGAGAGCCGCGCGCACGCACCGCGGGCCGGGCAGGCAGGAGGAAGGCGGGTGAGTGCGAGCTGAAGGCCGGGCCGGGGAGGGAAGGAGGAGGGAAGGAGAGACGAGGAGGAGGCGGGGGGGAGCCGGGCCGCTCTGACTACGAGAGCGCCGAGGCTTCGCTGGGACGGCGCAGGCCGCAGCCCACCCGCCGGTGCAGCCCCGGCGACGGGAGGACGCGCCGGGCCGCTGCCGGGCGCCGAGGGCACCGGGCCGTGAGAGGAGGGCGCGGGGGCGAGCGGGCGGCTTCTCCTCCCCGGGGGCACCGGGGAAGGGGCTCCCTCCGTGTCGCTGGCCGGAGGAGGCTGTATTTATTTCCTCCTCACCCCCCCCTCCGGCGCGGGGAAGCCCTTGGGCCGGGCCGGGCCACCGGCCGGGCTGGCGGAGGGCCGGTGGCCCCGGAACCGCTCGCATTTGCTGGGGCAGGCCGGTGCGGCCAGGCGCGGGCATCGCAGCGTGATTCGCTTAGAATTTGCGTGGAAATTTCCTCTCTCCCCTTCTTCCTCTTCCCTGGAGCCAGGCTCCATTTCTTCTTGTGATATGTACTTTTTTCCTGAGGGAGAGACAAACAGATGGTGAATGGCAGCTTCTTAATTTTGGTGTTATTTTGGACAGTCCGTACAACCTCCTGAGATTTGTCTGTCTGTAAGATAACCGGTATGTAACTTTCTATCTCCTGCTTGCAAAATCCTAGAAGCTCTTTCCATTTTGTGTATTAGCAGAAGCAAATGATAAGGCTGTGTATGGGTGCTCATCCTGCTTCTAGCGACGGTCCTACAGCTCTACCTGCCAGTTTAAAAGTGAGCAGCCAGTGCCTTTGTATGTGCAGTAAAGGGGAGGGAAAATACACTAGATAATTATCTTAAAATGCTTTGTTACTATACCAGAAAGGATTTAATTGTCCATGGCTTGTATGCTTCTGTCAGTGTGGTAATACTAAGTATGCTGTTCATAGGAGAAGCAATTCTCTCCAGAGCATATGTTAATGTGAGCAAAATATATCAGCTGGTTAAAGCTGTGGAAATTCTAGACCTGCAGATGGTGGCTTACTCCTGTCCAAAACTTTTAGGAGTTAATGTTGGCCAGTCACATGTTTACTGAGCCTGTACAGGTTTCTAACTTGCTGTGTTTTAACTGCCTGTGTTTTGTTTTAGTTTTGAAATGTCTTGACTTGAACATCCCTGTACTTTGACTTCATATTCATGTAAACATGGTGTCTGGCACTAGCAGAAGAGCACATATACTGAAAGATGAATATGTAGAAGAGTGCAACTTTTTCTAGCCCCTTTTGCTGCTTAAATAGGAAAGGGAAAAAATAAAATCCAGGCTTATGAAGAGCAGGGAGTAAAACAGCTGTTTGACTCAAGAGGGTGAATTAGTTTCAGATGGCCTACAAATAGCCAAATGTACTGCTAGTTTCTTAGCACCTCTGTAATAATGTAGTGATCTGACTTGTGGTCTAGGATTCAGCTGTGCTGCACCTTAGGCTTTTGGAATTCTGTGATAGAGTTTCCATTTCATAAACAAGATGAACACATGCTTAGAAATGCTTGGCAGTTGAACTTGGCTGAATTGCATACTAAGTTCATTTTAGGGGAAAAGACTGTTTTGTAAAGGGGGAATACAGCAATAAAATTATGTATTCTTTTAACTTTCATGTTTCTTCAGGTGCCTGTTTGTTAGCTTTTAAAATTATAAGTGTTGGAGGATCCTAACAGTTTTTCTCTTTACAGAGAAAAGTTGGTGAGCATCTGTCAGGAATAGTGCTGTACTAGTTTCTTGGTACCTCAGAAAGTTTAAGAACATCCTTAGAGTGCCAGCTAAATAAAAAACTTGGGTTAAAAAGGCTGGTGAGAGAGTATACACAAGTATGTGGCTTTTTTATTTAATAAAAGACTCATTATGTAAAAATATATGTTTTCCTTCATGGCTATTGTTCATAGAAGTTAGGATATTCTTTGTGAGTTAAATGTTTTTGAAATAGCTCTGACCAAGATCATAAGTGTGGGCCCTGAAGGCTTAGCTCTGGCAACTATTGCTCAAAATCTCACCTGCCTCTTTGAAATAAATGAGATTATTTCAAATAGACCACTCTGTAAGCACAGGTAACTGTTAAGTGGCTGATCACAGATTGCATCTTGGGCCTTGGTTGCTCTGGTAAGATGAGGCTGATCTATAGGCCTTAATGCATGCTGAAAGGAAATTACTTGCTCAGCAAGACTGCTAGGGTCAAGGGTTCTTAAACTTTCACACGGTGAATAGTGCCTTAGGTTGTACAAACCACCTCTTGTTCCACTTGCAGTTATTCTGTATTGCTGAGATAACTTGAGTAAGCGCATATGTGAAAGACTGCATAACTTAGCTTACTTCAATGTCCTGAATGCTTTCTCTCTTTAAAGATGTTAATGCTTTTTTTTTTTTTTTCCCCAGTGTGTATCTTTCTACCTGCTTAGTCCCCTTTTTATTAGATGGTAATAGTGTGAGGAGATAGAACTTTATGAATAAATAGGGTCCCCATCCCTCTGGGCCGCCCTCTTCTGTTTCTTGAAGAATAGTCTATGAATTTATTCCTTTCAGAAGGTTTGTTAACATTTTAACAACTGTAAATACTTTCCAGACTTGGAAAATTAAGTATAGCAGCAAATGGTTTGGCATGGCTTGAGCTGCTGCTCAGATCTTCTGGTTCTTCCTGTAAGTAAATTGGGAGGGCAGTGCAAGTGTCTAGCAGGAAATATGAATATAAGTAAAAGCATGTATGTGTTTTTGCATTAGACTGTTTGGATCAGTTAGGTGCATGTTTTTACCAGACTGGGTTTTTTTTTCTGTCACAGCAGAAACTTTGATGTGCTTGGTTTTGTCAAATGGCATTTTTCTTGTATGAATTGGAAAAAGGAATCTTCATCGTCTCCTTATTTCAGAATTGTTTTCAAGATTATACAGATTTAGTGAGTATTCAGGACACGTGGTCTTGGCTTCTGGTTAGCTGTTATTAGACTGGCTGCATCAGCTCAAAGGGAAGAATTAGTGTTTAAACTAGCGATTTCCACGTAGTAGTAAAATCAGGTTTTGTGGTGATATGTTTTATTTTCTTTCCCTCCACATGGTTGTTCTGGGAACTTGACAACTTCAAGGTATTTCTAGTAGGAGTCTATAATCATTTAAATGGACTTTGCAAGTGTTTTCTAACCACAGATGTGCAAAATAAGGTATTCATCAATCTCATGCATGTGCTTTAACAACTTGGGGAAGCCTGCATCCAGAGCTATGAAGACAAATACAGGCTAAGGAAATGACACTTCTCATCCTTTTCTGTGTATCCTGAAAGCTGTGTTTTTATTCTGGAGCAGAATATGATAGTGTTGATTTCATAACGGTTAATCAGTTTTTAGTGTATTTTTATTAAGGTATTTCATCTGTTGCTGGCTTTCAAACTGGGGAAAAAGAGGTTGAGATCAGCATAAGGGAGATTTTTTGATGATTTTTGCTTTAGTCACTGAGTTAAAAATAAAGGTGGATGTAGAGATCAAGCAAACGTGCTACTGAACTTGGTGGAAAGGGAGCTAGGATCTTTGCTGAGGCTTGTTCTCTGATCAGTGCTGATTTTGATCCAGTTCTGTTCTCTTGCAAAGGAAGAATGGACAACTTCATCTGTCTGTGGGTAGCTTTCTAACATACTGTGATCCCAGCATCTGTTTCTTCTGTTTCACTGTTGTCTTGAGAGCATGGATGCCTAATATGAAGTGGGTTTCAACTGACTACAAAATCAGATGTAAAGTAATTGTGCTTCTGCATATCTTGATTGAGAGATGGAGGGTCCCTTGTTGTAGTGCAGGTTCTTGTACTGTGTGAGCCCCTTCTGGGCTTGGAGTATTTTACTTTTCTCAGCTTAGCAGTCTTTCATTGCTGGAAGGTGATGTTGCAGTATTCTGCATTTGATTGCAAGTATCAATTATTAGCACTAGAAATTTGGGGTGGTGTTTTTGTGTTGTTGGGGTTTGATTTTTTTTTTTCTTTTTTCAAAACGAATGAAAGAAATTGCAAAAATGGCAGCACACTTCTGTCTTCACTTCTAATGAGTTCTTCAAATTCGAAGCAGAATCACATGAGCTTTGTAGGGATGGCCAAAAAATGTGATAGGCATGTGTACTATGATTTTCAAGTAGTGCTCACCCCAGGTTTTCCTTTGGGCCATTTTTGGCCTTTTTTGTGGTTGAGTGATTATGTTACAGACTGCTGAGGCCTAATCTTTTCCTTGCTTAACAGAAGGGGCATTTATTTTTTCTTGGTGTGGATGTTCTTAAATGTTTTCTTCCAGATAGATTCGATACGCAAAAGTAGTAACTAAAAGGGTAGCAAACTTACTCCTTGTAGAATAAAATACACCGCATAGGTAGACTTGCTAACAATTTTTTCGGATTAATTTGTTTCAGGAACACTGAATTCAACAGACGAGATTTATTTGAAAGCAGGCTTCATGTTATATTTTGGTTTAAAGTCCCTTTCACCAGTATGGATTTAATGTGGATCCCATTTGAATAGTGTATATTAATTTTAAATTGCAAGATACATGAGCTAAGACTCCTCGAGTGTGAAATACTGTACTTGCAAGTGGAGTAGTTTTGTTATTTCTAAACCTGTCTCTTATGTTACAGTAAGTTGCCGTCTTAAAAAAACCCCCAGAATTTGAGTGCAGGACTGGGAGGAAGTAATTATATTTGTATGTGCTTTGGAACTGCCTACCTGAAGAGTTTATGATTTCTAGAAGTTTTGGTGAAGGTTATGTCCCAGATAGGTGAGCATGTGGTGCCTGTTGTTCAGAGTTTTTCTACTACAGCCTAGAATTACAGAAAAACAGGATAGGGAAGAAGTCTGTAGCAATAATCACTAGATGTGGGGTGAAACTATTCAGCACTTTTTTGCCTTTCTCTGTCTTCTCTCCAGATATAATGAATGAAGATAGGTATGTGTAGCTATAGCTGTGCCTGTCAGTTAAAGACCTAAAGCTTCTCTGTGATCTGTAGATATTACCTTGGGCTGTTGGACATTCAAAAATAGAAACTATTCCCTGTTTTTGAATAGCTTCTGCTTCATGACATGTGACTTTTTTTTTTTTTGAATGAAATTTAGAATTAGTCTTCAGTATCTCATTCATAAAATGTTTGTCCCCTGAGAGCTCTTAAACTAGCATAAAATAAAAGGCCAAAACTTGCTAGGTCAAAATTAGTGTTTATAGGTCAGCATGCCCAGTAGTTAATTTGAATGCATTTCCTTCAATCAGTGTGAACTGTAGGGGCTCCTAAACTCCTGAAGTTATGTTAAACACACTGGTGTGAATTGAGAGAGGCCCAGTAGCATTAATCCAATTTGTCTAGTGACTTAATCTTACTGCCATTTATCATGTAACTGCTGCTCCTCTGAACGAGCCTTCTTGCATGTGTTTCTGTTGATCATTTAGCATGCTGAATCCCTTTTCCTAAGAAGGTAATCTTTCCTTTTATGAAACTTCATCCTAGGTTAAGGGTCGAGTAATTTATGACTGAGAAACCACGTTAGAGAAGTTAGAGCTTTCTCCTATCTTTGAAAGCTCTTTTGCTAATCCTTTCATTTAGTAAAGCATATATTTAAACATATTAATGTGGTTTCACAGTTAGTGGCAA